CCAAGCTCTGCGCTCTCTACAAAGAGGCCGAGCTGCGCCTGAAGGGCAGCAGCAACACCACCGAGTGTGTGCCCGTGCCCACCTCCGAGCACGTGGCCGAGATCGTGGGCAGGCAAGGTAAGCGGCTCCGGGACCGTGGGGAGGGACTTGGGGGGGGCACCACGTCCCCAGCACAGAAAGTTCATTTCCTTCCTCCCTGCTTGCCTCCGTCTCTGTCCCTTTCCCTACAAAGGGGGACCCGCCCCCTCCCCTGATTTCCAAGTGCCACAAAGTTCCCTGCTACCCACAGATGGGACGACTCTCCCGATCTTCCCCCCCACCCAGCCCCCCCGCCCGGCTCTGCCCTCAGACAAAGAAATATCCTCTCACTGGGAGAGGGAAAGGGGAGGGGGCTCGGTCTCCCAATCCGGGGAGGCTGTCCAGAGGGGGTGTCCACTCCTATGGGGGGGGGGGAGTGGGAGAATGTTCACAGAATGTGTAAAGAGTCACTCGAAAGTCCCAGCCCCTGGTGTCTGTTAGTAGGTTGGGCGGGGGCACTCGTGAGACCCCCACACTCCTGGAGTTAACAGACTTTGGGGGAGACCTGGCCCGGGAAGCCCTACAGAGTAGCTGTCTCTTTGTTGGGTTGAGTGTTGGAATGGAAGGGGGTGTGGCTCAGGGGAGGGTCCCAGGATGGGGGAGAGTTGGGGAGGGGGGCAGCTAGGACAAGGGGGTCTTCTGGTTACCCACACACCCAAGTTAGATGGTCTGGGGAGCTTGGGAAGCGGTGCCTCCACGGAAGTGTGATGTCCCAGGCCTGGACCTTTCAGCTTCCCTCTCTCAGGCTTTTGTTCTGGGTTGGCCACAGCCAGGGGCCAGAGGCCTGTTGAGGGGTCCTCTGGTAGTGAGAGAGTGGGACAGGGTAAGAAGGGGGTGTGGGGGGGAGCCAGAAATCATCACCTGAAGATTTGGTGATGGGTGGGTGTCTGTGGGGGTGTGTGTTTAGAATTAATCCAGTGTAGTCTGTCTGATACCACACCCTCCTCAGCTCCAGCATCCCTGAGCGGCTGTGGGGGGTGTGTGTTGGTGAGGGTCCAGATGGAGCAGACTCGGGATGTTGGGGAACCATTCCTCATCCAGTTTCCCAAAGGGGAGTGGGGTGGGGGTGGGTGGGTCTGGAAATTGCCAAGGGGGCTGGGCTGGGGAGGTGTGGGGTGGGGGAGGAGTGGGGGAGGAGCTGTCCCACAGTGGGGAACAATAGAGGAGCTGCATTCCGACTGGGAGGGAGGAAGGCAGGCAGGCAGGCAGGCAGGCAGGCAGGCAGGCAGGCGGCAGGCTGCTGGCTGGGGAGGTGGCCTGGATGGGCCCCTAGTCTGCATCCCACCTCCACTCCCAGGCCCGCTGTGGTTAGGGGGTTTCACTGGGAGACCTAGAAGGGAGGTGGGGAAGATGCGCTCCCCTGTACACTCCCCCACCCTCCAGGGGCACTGCTTCTCTGGACATAATCTGGTTTAGAAAGTTGATGTCTTCTGGTCAGCAATGGAGGGTCCAGAGCCCTGGAATTAGGTAAGGCTAGTGATGTCTTTTCTTGGGTGTGGGATATTCTAGGGAGGCTCTGGATTTTAACGGAATTATTCTATCCTCTTCTGCCTCTGGCCTGTCCCTCATAAAAGCAGGGAGATTTCTCCTATTCAGATCAGCCTCTCCATCATTTTTTAAGTGCATGGAAGTCCTCCCTCTCGTCTAGCCTCCCGCCTTCTACTGCAGTGTTAGTGTTCTTCTGTTTGACCTCTAGGAAGGTGAAGCCCCCTGGATCTCCCCTTCAAGAGATGCCTCTTCAACGTGGCAGAATCCAGGCAGAGGTCCGCCTCCAATTCTGCACCTCTGAGCCCCTAGCTTTTCTCCTTGCTCTGACCCATCCTCCTCAACCCCCATAGGTTGGTGGAGCCAAAACTTAGAGCCCGGCCCCATGTGAGTGGAGGTGGTAGGCAAGGGGACCCCTGTAGTCCTCAATCTTCTCTGCCTCATAGCAGCCAAGCATGTGCTGGACAACAGGTAGGACTGGAGAACTGACAAGAAGTCTGGAACACAGGGAGGGGGAACAGATCCTCCTTCTTGAGAGGTTTCTGGAAGGTGAGGAAAGCTGTCCCAACCCACTCTCTCCTCCTCCCACCCCCCCATAATTTGGTAGTGTCAGAGGCCGTCTGGAATGGAGGCAGAGGCTCACATGCTTGATCCCACCTGGGGCCTGTCTTTAGGGGCTTGGCAGAGTCAGAAAATAGGACGCTTCCCGTGATTTTGAGGCGATCGGGTGATTGTGTGTGTGTCTGGGGGGGCGGGCGCTCATGACAGAGAACAGTGAGTTGCATGCCTGGAGAGGGGTGTGAATAAGGGCAAAAGTTGGAGGTGCGTGGAGTCGATGCAGATGGAAGGGTGGGAAAGGAGGGCGGTTGGAAAGTGTGCATCAGGCAGGCTCACCCCACTAGCGTTGGTGTAGATAGAGGCACATAGCACTCCACGGTTCTTAGGACCATGTGTGCCAACTCATATACACGTGGCGGATGCTTCGTAGGAAAAGTGTGTGAGTCTCTGAGGCTTCTTGTGAAGGTGGGGGGGTGGGAAAGGAGAGGGGCTTGTTCAGTCACCCATCCAGCTCCGCAGTCTTCGGGGATGGCCTGGGCCTCCCAGTCTCTTTCACCTTTCTCTCTCCCCTTCTCTCCCTTTGTCTCTCTTTGTCTGGGCCTTTCTTCTCTCTCCTCCTGCGTTAATCTACTCCTTCGAAGCAGGAGGCCAGGCCCAACATACCCTGCCCCTTACCCTACTCGGGTCCCAACCCCATGTCTGCTCTCTTGGCACCAGGGGCCAAGAAATCTCTTTGGGCGGGTGTCACTTCCTGACACGGCGATTCATTTTATCTTCATACCCCTGTTCTCCCTCCTGAACACTGCTTCTAGACCCAGGCTCGCCTCCCACCTTCCACTAATTGCTGCAAGCTCTGTGAACTGGGGCACTCACTGAGAGACAGTGGGGAGAAGGCCTGGGGAGAGGGTGTCACCCAAAAGATAGGGGTCAGGGGCTCCAGGGTCGACTGGGAAGATGCTTCGGGAGTGGAAGTTAAGTAAGGAGTAGACTGTAGGGGGCTGACCGAGTGGCTATGGGAGGTTCTGTGGAAAGACGGGTGACGGCGACAGGTGCAGTGTTTAAGTAATTTGGAAGTTATGTGCCTATCAGCCAGTGGGTGGGGGAGGAATTCGTGTGTAGATTCTCAGCCAGCAACTTGCCTGGAAGGGTCAGTGAGTATTTGGGGATTTTTCAAGGAGCTAGTGAGCAGGGAGGGTCCTGAGCGGAACACGAAGAAAGTTGGTGCCATTTTGACATCTGTGGTCCATAAAGACATTGAGTAGACTGGAGATCCCGGGAGGGGCTGGTTCCAGTCAAGGTGGATGGGGGCGGGGAGGGGTTGTGTTTTCAAGGGTAGCCTAAGGGGTCCTTGGGGAGCTGTGGTCTCTGGGTAAGATCGGGCAGCTTATTGGTGCCATCACCAACCTTGTCCTGTGGGTCTGTTTTGTCTTGTCTTGCCTGCCCCCCCCACCACCCCTTCCCATCCTACCCCAGGCTGTAAGATTAAGGCTCTGAGGGCCAAAACCAACACCTACATCAAGACGCCAGTGCGGGGCGAGGAGCCGGTGTTTATGGTGACTGGGCGGCGAGAGGACGTGGCCACCGCCCGGCGGGAAATCATCTCCGCCGCTGAGCACTTCTCCATGATCCGCGCCTCGCGCAACAAGTCGGGCGCTGCCTTCGGCGTGGCGCCGGCGCTGCCCGGCCAGGTGACCATCCGAGTGCGGGTGCCCTACCGCGTGGTGGGGCTCGTGGTGGGCCCCAAGGGGGCCACCATCAAGCGCATTCAGCAGCAGACCAACACGTACATTATCACGCCCAGCCGTGACCGCGACCCCGTGTTTGAGATCACCGGGGCCCCTGGCAACGTGGAGCGCGCGCGCGAGGAGATTGAAACGCACATCGCGGTGCGCACGGGCAAGATCCTCGAGTACAACAATGAGAACGATTTCCTGGCGGGGAGCCCCGACGCCGCACTGGATAGCCGCTACTCCGAGGCCTGGCGGGTGCACCCTCCGGGCTGCAAGCCCCTCTCCACCTTCCGGCAGAACAGCCTGGGCTGCATCGGCGAGTGCGGAGTGGACTCTGGCTTTGAGGCCCCACGCCTGGGCGAGCAGGGCGGCGACTTTGGCTACGGCGGGTACCTGTTTCCGGGCTACGGAGTGGGCAAGCAGGATGTGTACTACGGGGTGGCCGAGACCAGCCCCCCCCTCTGGGCGGGCCAGGAGAATGCCACGCCCACCTCCGTGCTCTTCTCCTCCGCCTCCTCCTCTTCCTCCTCCTCGGCCAAGGCCCGTGCTGGGCCCCCGGGCGCCCATCGTTCTCCTGCTACCTCCGCGGAGCTGGCGGGACTCCCGAGGCGCCCGCCCGGAGAGCCTCTCCAGGGCTTCTCCAAACTTGGGGGGGGCGGCCTGCGGAGCCCCGGCGGCGGGCGCGATTGCATGGTGTGTTTCGAAAGCGAGGTGACCGCCGCGCTGGTGCCCTGCGGACACAACCTCTTCTGCATGGAGTGTGCAGTTCGCATCTGTGAGAGGACGGACCCCGAGTGTCCCGTCTGCCATATCACAGCCACGCAAGCCATTCGAATATTCTCCTAAGTACCCTGCCCCATACCTCCAGGCCCACTCCCCAGGGGCCGCCCGAGAGCTGTTTTCCAGTAAGGCGTTTTGGAAATCAGTGATTCCAGGGGCAAGGTGCTTAGAGATGCTTGTTGGGGGTGGGGGGCCTCGGGGAAAGACAACTGTGGTGGCTGGAGGGTGGGCCACTTGCAGAGCCGCTGGTCCCCCAGCTCCGGGTAGGTTGGGAGGGGGCCGGACCAGAAATGTTACTAGAGTTACAACTCTGATACCTCAACACATTCTAAAATCGGGGAGCAGCTAAGAGAAACTTGTTTTGCCAGAGATGGTGGCTAAGGTTAAGATGAAGCTCCTAATCCTGACCCCCAACCCGCACCCCCACCCCCCATCCCCATCTGTGTGTCACCCTACTTCTTCTGGGCAATAGGGCAAAGGGAGAGGGAGAATTCCAATGTGTACCCAGAGGTGCTTTTTCGGATCTCCAAGCCCTCTAGTCCTGACCTCTGACCTCTTAACATGACCCTTTCACCCCCATCCCCACCCCACATCCTGTTTGAGGATCTGGTCAAGAGGTTTCATAACTCTCGGAGGTCGGGGCTCTCCTGGAAGTCAGCAGAAGTCTTCGGGGTGGGGGTGGGGGGGTGCATGCCGTTCCATTGAGGGCACAGACTGCATCTGTCCCTGTACAGCTGGGCTGGAAGGAGCTGGCGAGGGCCACTCCTCAGCTTTCCACTGTCCCTTACCCTGCTCCCTTCTCCTGTTCCCCTTCCTGCGAGTTCTATTTCTTTTCTTCCCCCGGGCAGCTGTGGAGTTCACTTTTCTTTGCTCTTCTTACTACATCCCTTCCTGATCCTTCTGCCCCTTCCAGCCCAGCTTTGAGGGTGGAGAAGTCCGTCCGGGGGAAGAACATCTTGATACCACTGAACTTCAGGCACCAGAAAGCCCTCTCCTCCACCTTTCTGAGCAAACACCTTTAAATTGTTGATGGATTATATCTCACTTCTCAGTGAAAATGTGTGGAAGGGTCTAATACTAGGGTATCTAAAGGTGATTCCCACTGTCACCATCTTTGGGCATTATATTTAGGGAGTACTTCTTGGGCTCGATTTTCTGGCTGTGGATCTGGGGGTGGGGGTCTGCTATTTACAGGAGCAGGAAAGGACCTGAGGCAGGAGAGGCTGGTAGCAGGAAGGCACTGACTCCCCTGCAATGCCCCCCTCCCTGTACCCCTCCCAGGGCCTGACCTGAATCCTCATTAGCTTGCGAATCATGAAGTCTCTGTGTCCCTGTCACCCCCACCCCCACCCCACTGTGGCTAAGGAGAGAGACCAGGTCTTCAGAGAGGGGTCCATCTGAGGTGGAAGTTGAGTTGGGGTGTGGCAGGACCTGATTCAGTAATACTGTACAATCTTGCTTCCCCACTACTCATTTGGGGTTGCCACTGGCCTCTCGCCCTCCTGGTTCCGCTGGCCGGGCCAGGAGAGGACAGGGATGAGAGGCCCAGAGGGCACCAGGGGATTCTTGTACGCAATGGGGTGGGACTGTTCTGGGTGATCTCTGAGCACTTAATGGCTCTGGAGTCCCATTCTTCCTTGAAAGGAGAAGGGGAACAGGGATGGGGGTGCCAAGGGGGTTTCCTCCTCTCCTTCCTCCTGTTGTGAATTATCTCATTTCTCAACTTTCCCCTCCAGACCACCAGCCAGGCAGGGGAGAGGAAGGTGGTCAGGGGCCAAGAAAGCTGGCCTGTGACAATTTCCCTCCTCGCTGCCTCCGTGAGCCATCCTGAAATGTCTGTACAATAGAAACCAAACCAAATGGGTACCCCCAGTGCACTGGGGGCGGTCTGGGGAGGGGGGTGGGAAGAAAGGATGTCTGTCGACCCCCTCCCCCTCTCCACTCCTTACCCTCAAAGGCGGAAGACTGTTACACTAGGGGGCTCAGAAAATCCAATCCCACCCTTACTAGTTGAGCCAGACCTAGACACAAACGCAAAACACGCATAGCGAGACAAAACAGGAGAGGGGTGGGTGGGGAGCAAGAAAGGAGACCAACGCAGAGGGGAGAAAACAAAAATAGCAAAAAAAAAAAGCAGTTCTTTATAATTTAATATTCTATTTTAATAAAGGCGTTTATTACCGTATAAATGTAGCAAAGAACCTGGGCTAATATGAAAAAAAAAAAGACTTTTTATTAGGTAATTTATTATATGAAAAGGATATTTTATTTTATGATAAAGTGATCCTTAAAAAAAAATAAAAAAACTTTAGAAGGTTTAGAATATATGTAGGGAGAGAAGAAGAAAAAAAAATACATTTGTATTCAGAGTTAAATCTTAAAGTGTTTTTAATATATGTTCCGGTTTGCGTTCCTTTTCCCCCCCACATTTCTTTGGGGAGGAATCTCATTTGCTTTTCTGTGGGGAGCATCCTGGTGTGGATGGTGGAGAAAGGGGCTGGGGGAACCCTGGTCCCTTCTGGGGCCCTGTGACTAGATTGGATTTCACTCCATGGGCTCCCCGCCCCTCTCCCCCTCCCCCTCAGGGGGGGAGCAGGCAGAGCCAAACAAAGAAAGGGATTAACAAGAAAGGAAGAAGCTGAGGATTGAGGATCCTGGGGTGTCCCCCCCCTTCCCCTTCACCATTCCCAGGAGGTGAGTGAGAAGGGGAAGCTGAGAACTGAGGCCCAGCAGGCCCATGGGAACCTCAGAGAGGTGTGAGATTTAAGAGAAATAGATTTTTTTTTTAACCAAAAAAAAAACAAAAACCGAGAGAGAAAGAAGAAAAGAAAGAAACCGAGGGGTTTAAAAGAAAAGAATACTACAAAATAATAATTAATAATAATAATAATTCAAATTTATTTCATATAATCCTAGAGAAAGAGAGAGAAAGAATTACTAGTTACTTAGTAGACAATATTCAGATAGCTTAAAGTTTAGTAGCATCGAGGGCCCCTGGGTCCAGTAGAATGTATAAAAGTCGTAAAGAGTGGAAGATAGAGGAGGGCAGTGGCTGGCTCTGTCTGGAGTTGCCCCGTCTTTAGAAGTCAGGGTGGAAGCAGGCTGCAGGTTTAAGGTTGGCAGTTTCCAGTCAGCTGTGGTTGCTTCGGAGAATCCTTGGGTTTTTTAATTGTAGGACAAATAGAGAGGTTCAGTTCTGAGGGTCTTTAAATGGGTGGAACACACCATCTACAGCAGAAAGGGGACTGGGCCCTGAGCAGCAGAAGAGGGGGCCTGTGGGTCAGGCCATTCTGTCCCACCCTTTGCCTCTGCTGCACAGTGCTTGCTCAGTCCAAAGTGATACATAGGTCATTATCTGGGGCTTGTAGGGAGGACAGAGACTAGCTTAAATCCTCCCAAACCAGCTTCTAGAGCCCAAATGAAGTACTTCTGAGAGTCTAACCTCAATCCACTTCGTGACTGATTGGAGAGCCTGGTAGGTTATTTCCCAAACATGCACACAGGCTGCTTTACCTGAGACCTTCAGGGGGACTAAGGGGATTGTTTCCCATCCCTTTTCCCACCCAGCCCTCCACTTGGCTTTTGGAGAAGTCCAAGCAGCAGCGCAAGGAGTGTTCTCAATAAATGTTCTCCTTTGAAACTGTACTGTGCTTCACAGGTCTGCAAAGTGCTTTATTGTCTGCATGAAGTTAGGTTCCAAGAAGGACTTCCTGGGAGATAAAGGGAGGGCCACCATCCCTGACGGTCTCAACTGCCCCAGAATCCAGATCAGAGGGCAGCAGTGACCTCTAACCCTGACCCTGACTGTTCCTGCCCAGTGTTCATTCAGGTAGGGGTCATGTGTTGTGCCCTGGCCTGGGGGTGGACACCCCTAGCCCAGACGATTGGAGAGCCTGAGTCTTATATGTGAGGCATTTATTTTTCAAGCACTTGCCTTCTGGTACCATTTGCTTGCAATCAGGTGGGGACCTTCCTGTCCAAGCTGGGGGGAGGCCCCAGGCTCTCCTTTTGGCAAGAGGGGGCGGGACCAGTCCCATGACACCAATGACTATCATGCCCTCTCCCTGACCCTAGACCCCAAACATGTCCCTTTCCCTAATTTACTTCTCACCCCACCTAGGGTGATTTCCCCCCCCCCCATTCTGTTTGTCCTAGGAGGCCCTCCCCCCCTAGTTTGGGATGGTATCATCAGAGGCGGGGAAGGGATTGCCCATCCCCTCTGCTCCTGGGTGGGGTAGGGGGTGGGGTGGGGGAGACGGCCCTGGGGCAGAGAGGATGGTCTCCCCACTGTAGAAAGTAGAGTAGGATTGTGGTCAATACTTCATTTGAGGCATCTAGGGAAGACATCCCTGCTGAGGAGAAAAAGATTTCAAAAGCAAAATGAACAGGGAGGAGGAAAACTCAACCCATGAATGATCAAGTCAAAGTGATGTTGCACACGGGCAGAGAACCAAGAAGGGGAGGGTCAATGTATGAAATGTGCTATTAAGAACTTAATTTTATTAAAAGCATTATTACTTAACGGCGCTTCCTTTATGTGTCTAGCAGAGGGGTCGGGGCCATCTTGGGGGTTAGAGGAACCACTGTGGGGTTCTCCCTGTGTGACTGGGCATCCCTGTATGTGCCCTGGGAAGGGGAGGTCTCCAGAAATCCAGAGCCTACCAGAATCTTCAAACACTCGGTCTCCTCTCTTCTCCCCTTGACCGGCCGCCTTCTCCTTGGGGAGCAGTCTGTCAGACATCCACCCTGATCAGCAGACCAAGGAGACAAGAGAGCCTGCTCGAGCAGCCGTCTTGGTTGGAGGAGGGGCTGGTCTGATGCTAAGAGAGACAGACACACCCTACTCACCCCC